ACACTCATACACATCCTTCTCTGCAGATTTGCTTTATTCAACATCAAGAAGATCAGGCCCTTTCTTTCGGAACATGCTTCACAACTCCTTGTTCAAGCTTTTAGACTTGAACTCTATTAATTTACTAACTGCTTGTTTTCTTAAAAAAAAATAACACTAGCTTTCCTAATCTTTTTGTATTCTATCTATTTGTTTTCTATTTATTTATTATACAATTAACAAAAGCAAAAAATAAATAAACCGAGGCCTCTAACACTAGCTTGCTCTATTCTATCTGTTTTGATATATATATTTTTAAATTTATTATATAAAAAAAAAAAAAACCTTGCTACGTGTACTGCGTTAAGCTAACTGAGACTTGTTATAGCACTTGTATATCATTGCTCTTTTGTTGATTTTGATTGCTTCCATTGTCCTCATTTGTAAGTCGCTTTGGATAAAAGCATCTGCATAATGACTAAATGTAAATGTAATGTAAGTTCAGCTTTGGAAATGGAAACTAACCTGTTTGTTTCTCAGTATCTTCATGTTTCACTCTGAATGTTTCTTCAATCTTCAAGTCTTCACTCTCCTCCTTAATAAACGCCATCTTTTTATTCGTCACATGGATCTCAGTTGCTTCACCAGGAGTTTTTCTGCATCTTTGGACACTCTGTCATGTATAATAATTAACAGAAAGAAAAATAAATCCATGTTAAATCTCTAGCTCCCTGGCTTGGCAGTCAGTGCACTGGAATGGGTGCTACGTGTACTGCGTTAAGCTAACTGAGACTTGTGATAGCACTTGTATATCATTGCTCTTTTGTTGATTTTGATTGCTTCCATTGTCCTCATTTGTAAGTTACTTTGGATAAAAGCATCTGCATAATGACTAAATGTAAATGTAATGTGAGTTCAGCTTTGGAAATGGAAACTAACCTGTTTGTTTCTCAGTATCTTCATGTTTCACTCTGAATGTTTCTTCAATCTTCAAGTCTTCACTCTCCTCCTTAATAAACGCCATCTTTTTATTCGTCACATGGATCTCAGTTGCTTCACCAGGAGTTTTTCTGCATCTTTGGACACTCTGTCATGTATAATAATTAACAGAAAGAAAAATAAATCCATGTTAAATCTCTAGCTCCCTGGTTTGGCAGTCAGTGCACTGGAATGGGTGTCAGTTAGAGTGCTAATAATCAATGGTCTTAAATGAAATAAATAGCCAACACGCTAAAATAGAACTACAAAAGATAACAGAACACAAAATAAATTACGTTTTCATTTAAAGAAATGCAACGGGTCTGTAAAAGTTCTCACTGCACATGATGTTTGTGATCTCGTTGCATTTACACAGTTTTGACCAGCAGGTGCCGAAAGCGTGTGCTGATTGGAGCGCTTCAAATCAGTAAAGCATCGTGCGCCTCTGTCATTACAAATAGATCAGTGCCGAATTCATTACGATAAACTGATTCACGATATAGGAAGCGAAATGAGATGCACTTCTTCTGTTGCTCATATGTGGATGTGCCTTTTTCACACAAAAAAGTGAATGTAATGTGTATAACATATGTAAAAACTATAGCATTGATTGAACTGTTTATATTGATGAACACGCAAATACGATTAAAAACACAAACCTTCAGCCCAGAGGAGCGCGGCGCAGACGTATGACGTCACGTCGCCAGCCCAAAATAAAAGTCCTGTTCACACGCAATTTATATTCGAAACACATAGCACTCAGTATCGGTTGAATGAATGCTTTGCTTCGTTCATATCGTCTATAGATTCTTGGAATATCATAATTATGATCTAAACATTTTAGATATTTTATACACATTTTAAGTATTTTTTTACTCAAATGAACTATATATATATATCAGTGGTGTTCTGAAATGAGGAGGCATTTTTTTAATATCAAATGTAAATTCATGTCAGAGTCCCATTTTCTTGGTTAAATAAACATTACACTATCAGAAAAATAAAAATAAATCTATTTTATATTGCTACATTAACAATGTAATGAATATTCTATTTATTAAGCCATGTATGAATCTCATCAAGTTAGTTTTTTTACATTTTATACATATTACATATATTCCAAAAAAAATAACTTAACAATAATATATTTTATTTGTGAACTTATGTTCAGCTATTCTTTTTAATAATTAACTTTTAATTATTAATTAATTAAAAGCTCAGTATATATTGGTCACAGACACAGAGATTTACTTTAGATTTAACCAAGCTGATTACTCACTAAAAACTCCCACAGATCAAGTTTTCGGCCCATTTTAAGTCTTATTTTCATGTAGCAACGTGGTTATATCTAAGTGTGTGAGTTGTTTACTTACTTTTTTAAATTAGTCTTCCCATTAACACCATTATATTGTTCATTCAGACTGATTCACGAACGCGGAATGCGCACAAGAGGCAGGATTTATCACATGAACCAATCACAACCGAACATAACCAGTCACATCCAATCATATCGCAATGTGACTTTCCCCGATTCATTCTCAATTACCCCCCCTAAACCCACGGCACACTAAAGCCTGTGTTATACTTTCCGCGTGCACAATCCGGACGCGTACGCGGACAGCACGGACGCGTACTACTTGTATTTATACTACCGAAACGGTCCGCTCAGCTGACGTGTTCCACGCATGTGCAGTAGATTGGCTTGAACAGACAAACATGGCGACGTCTATGCAGCAAGAAGAGCTTCTTTGTCTGCTGTACTTTGCTAATTCACAGAAGAAGAAAAAAAGACGTTGGGCAAGAAAGTGGTGTGTGCGGCCAACGAATGGGACCAGGACCAAAGCGGTGGAGTTTAGTATGTTGGTGTAGGAGATGCGTGCAATGGACGAGGAGAAGCACCATCAGTACTTTCAAATGTCTGCCGCCAAATTTTATTTCCTGGCCCACAGAATCGATGAACGCATCCAGCACAAAAGAACACACAGTGCTCCGATCAGTGTGGCGGAAAGGTTAGCGGTGACTTTACGCTATTAATCAACTGGATGTTCTCAGGTCGGTGTGGCTGCAAGTTACAGACTGAGCAGCTGCACTGTATCGAAGATTATTCCCGAGGTGTGCAAGGCCATTTGGGACACTCTGCAGCCGGAATTCTCCCCCTTTCCATCCCAGACACAGTGGATGCACATACATAGCGCGTGATTTTTGGAGAGTCTGGAACTTCCCACTGTGTGTTGGTGCCATCGACGGGAAGCATGTCACCATCAAAGCCCCCCGGAATGCTGGAACTATTTTAATTACAAGGGGAGTCACTCAGTTGTTCTGATGGCTGCTTGTGATGCCCATTACCGGTTCACGGTGGTAGACGTGGGGGCCTATGGACGTGAAAGCGATGGAGGCGTCTTCAAAGAAAGTATATATGGGTGCAAGCTAATCAACGGGACTCTGGAGCTGCCACGACCAGTCACCCTGCCAGGCTCGGATGTCACCAACCCGCATGTGTTTGTTGCAGATACAGCTTTCCCACTGCTCCCAAATCTCATGCACCCATTCCCAGGTAAAGTCTTTTGTTTATCAGAATGTACAAAAGAGTTATAAAATTATATTTTGCAATAATACTGTGTGTCACAACAGCATGACATGAACCACATTATCAATTTGTTGCTGTAATGTTGTGGGTGTTTAAGTTAAGCCTATGTATATATGTAAATAACTGTATATAGGTATATTTAATTGTATTTTTGAGGTTACCATTTATAATTTATAATGTTACATTTAATTACCAATTAGTTTATGCTTGTGTAGCATCAAAGACACCACCATGAGTGTTCACACTGTTTGTATGTCCCTCTCACTTTATCCCACAGGCTCCAACCTCACGACAGCACAGCAAGTATACAACTACCGGCATTCCCGGGCCTGAAGGATTATAGAGAACACCTTTGGCATCATGGCATCCCGGTGGAGGATTTTTGCCCGACCAATTGACTGCAGCCCAGACAATGTAGTACACATTGTGAAAGCCTGTGTGGCTTTACACAACTGCTTAACCCACACTGATGCATCTAATCCAGGGAACACCATACAATACCGTACACCTTACCAGATAGCCCCACCGCAGACGAAGACATCCAGCCAGGTGAGTGGAGGCGGCATGTGGCAGGCAACACCAATCTTCTTGAGGCAAGGCAGCTGTCCGCTGGAAGAGCATCACGGGTAGGGTTGGGTACCGAAACCAAGTACCAATATGGCACCGGTACCCATGTAACCAGTATGTACTAGAACAGAATCAGAACACAGATTTCGGTGCCTCATTTCGGTGCCATGGCTGAGCGATCGATTGAAATATTTGTCCTCTGGCTCTCCAAAACGGACGTAAGAAGCATCATCACCGGCACCGCACGTGAAAAATAATTTCCCGACTGAGAAAACGCATGTGAACTCAAATCGGAAAGCTCTAATAATACAAATCCAACAAATCCTTGTAGTAACGAGCGTGTCCATGTTGTTTTCACATTCCGACTTAAAAGCACAACTCGGGAAACGAGAGCATCCGAGGAGTGCGTGAATGCAGTAATTACACTTGATCTGATGGCAGCAGGTAGCCTTCCGTTAACTAAGCTAAACATGCTTAAATTAAAATGCCTAAAGCTAAACCTCCCTTCTATTCACATTTCTAAACCTGTTGTCCAACAAAAGAGAAAATAACCTTTTTACTCCACAACTCCAGTCAAATGCTTCCTTTTGTGAACTGATGAGGCTTCTTGTCACAGAATGAGGCAGAAAATATGTTCCATAGGCTACTTTAAAAAGAATACATCGATTAGCAATGGATTATAAATATACTTAATTATTATGAAAATACCAGAGATGACTTGAATAACAGAAACTATATTGTCGCAGTCGAGTGTTTATTGTCTTTGTTTTATCATTCAAAAGGTTTATATGTTCTGTTTACTCAGTTGCAGCTATAATAGCGATGCCTTTGTCCATATAAGAGATTTCCAGGAGGGTCATGAGTTCCGCTACTTCTCTGACTGGATATGTGGATTTTCTGTGCGAGGGCGCCCTCTGGCGTCCAGTATGAATGAAACAGACATCATGTGTTTATAGTGCTAATGGCCAATCCATATTTATTG